CTGTGTACCACAGATACACCTGCCGTGGCTGTCCTCCTGCATAAAAACTTAGGACAGCAACCCAGGAGATGCCCTGACCACATATCAGATCCTGGCATCGAGAGTGTCCCCGAGGTGTCCAGGCTGGTAGGGTTTGTACCAGAGCACCTACTACCAGTCATTTAGACCACAATTCTCCACGTGTGGCCAAGGATCCCTGAGGAGCCCCGAGCCCCTCCCAGGTGGTCAGCAAGGCCAGTCTCCTACATATTCCTCATCCAAAGCAGCGTGTCACAGAAGAGTGAAAGTGAAGCAGAGGAGGACCTGACTGTCTTCTTCTAAGACAGATGTCAAAGAGATGTGTACAAGTGTAAAGCAACACTGTTCTTATCATTATGTGTTTTTGTTTGGAAAAATAACATATATAACTATTAAGTATTATATATGTTAACATGTAATAAGTTTATTTTTAATGAATAAATACTTAAAATTTTCAGTTTTAATTTCAAATAAAATCAGTAGAGGTCATCCGTACAAACAAAGCTCTTTTGAGGGTAATCAGTAGCTTTTAAGAGTATAAAGAGTAACCAAACCAGAGCATTATCATGCTAACATACCAGGGCACTGAAGAGGGTGTACAGTAAGTGTGGTGGACACGCGGGGCAGGGTGGGTTTCCAGGGTGCTGGTCCACAGGGTGGTGGGCAGGGCTATACTCACGGTGTGTGACAGGAAAGCTGGTGAAGTGCAACCTACAGAGCAAGCTGTCCCTCTGAAAGAAAGATTCTATACCTGTTTCCCACAGTTTCTTTCTTCCCCTTACTTGCAGTGAACTTTTTAATATAATGTTAGATCAGAAGGTTTATGCCTTTCAGAGAGTATGAAATGCTCTATGTGCTGTCTCAGACCAAAGGAAATAAAATCTAGAGCAAATAAAGATATAAGTGTAAAAATGCAAACTATAAAAATTGTAGAAGAAAAAATACTTTTAGAATATTGGAGAAGACTTTAATCAAACAGGAGGCTTACAAACATAAAAGAAGATGGTATTAGATGACATAATAATGTTTATCTTCTATAGAGCAACTCAGCAGAATTTAAAGAAGTGACACACTAGGAGAAAATATTTGTAACCCATGTAGCAAAGATGTATGGTCGTAATATGTAAAGACTGCTTACAAATAAATGAGAAAGAAGTGGGAAAACTATAGATAAACTGATATGAACTAATAAGATTATGCAAAATAAAACTACAAATTACTAATAACCATTTTTTAGAATAACAAATTACTAATAATTACTAATTACTAGTAATTGGGGAAATACATATTAAAACAAAATATATATTTTTGTCCATCAGATTAGAACAAGTGAAAAGGCTGTGCACTGTTAATGAGGCTGTGGGAGCATGCCCTCTCCTGGCAAGAGCCTTTTTAGAAGGCAGAGGCTTGTACCCAGTAGCATTTAAAAGGATATGTCATTGACTCAGAAATTTTCAATTTTAGGAATCTTCCCTGTAGAGATACTCACAAATGTGGGTCAACACACAGTCACATACATTCACTCACATGCATACACAATCTTTTGGTAATAAAAGAAAAAAAGAAAAGAAAACACCTAAACATCCATTACTGGGAGAATATAAGTTCCAGTATATGCATATTCTGGAATAGATAGCCACCGTAATGAGTAAGGTCAGTTTATAAATATTCGTGTTTAAAGATGTCTGTGATGTATTAAGTGAAAAAAAAGCAGAACAATATATGTGTACAATAATTCCATTCATTAAAAAGAAGAAAGCCCTTATTCAATAGGCACATGCACAGAGATACACAGTGGGAGAACTGTGCTACCCCCAGGATGGCGTGAGGTTAGGTGGGGGGTCAGGGAGTGCTGCAGGCCTACAAAGGAGAACTTTTGCATTGTACACTGTGTAGTTTAAATTGTCAGGAAGTCTTCATTATTTTTATAGTAAGAATCCTTTTCAGATAAACACAGACATTCCCCCAAATTTTCACAGATATATGAAAATATAATTTGATTCCTTTGCTACAAATGGTTATCTGTATGGCTTTCCATATTCAGGAAAAGATGATCTAGAAAGCCATCTTCCAGTTGAAGAATTAACACATGAAGACTTTGTGTGGGACCACTTATTATAATCATCACTTTTACCTCTTTCCAAGTCCATGAACAATTATGGGTTTTTTTGGGGAAAAGAAAATTTGTCAATTACAGGGCATGACTTAACCTGAAAGGCAATTTATGAACACTCCGCTGTTCATCCACAAAATAGAAGAGTTGGTAAACAAAGCATTCTTTTGGGCTGCTCTACATGCTACATCAGTTGCCTTTGACCTGAACAGAATTAACTCCCTGCTTCCCTGTCTGCTCATCACGGGGGTGATGACCCTTGGTTGGTGGCTTGCTCCCCCCATACATTGCCACAGCCTCTCTGAGATGCACTCCTTGTCTTCTGTGGCCAGTGCAGGCCTCAGTTTGGTCTGCAGTAGCAGTCCTCCCAGGAAGCATGCCTGTGCAGGTGGGCAGAGCACACCTGGAGCCACTTGGCCCAGAACCCGCTCTGGGCTTCAGGTGTGTACACCCTAATTCACTGATTGATCTTTTGGTGATGAAGCCACTTAACTACCTGACACCACAAATACAAAATAAACAGAAATAGGTTCCTGATCATAGTTTCATGTGAGAGACAAACTGAAAAAACATAGCAACATCTTGTGTCATAAGTGATGAAGTAAGGGATCCCCAGCCACACAGCTGGGGAGGCTTCACATGGACACCAGTTACACAGGGTATCCTGGTCATGGGAAGGTCATGTGTAAAGGCAAAGACAGTGTTTCTAGGCTAACAAGCATGTCACACATCCCACAGACTGAGGATAAATAAGGGCTCATTTATCTGTGCTCCAATCACAAAGGTCCCTGTCTGTGCCCTCTGACTGGGAGCAGTTTCAGACTTTTCCAGGAGGTTCCCACCATGAAGAGTTCTGACAGTCCCTTGGAGGTGTTTGGGTGTACGTGAATTTGGTGGCTCCCTGTGGGTTTCTTCCTCACAGGAAGTAGATGCTCAGAGGAGCTTCTGGGACTTAACTGGGCTCCCAGCTCCCCTGGAGGCCACGCTGACCAGCTGTTAGGCCGGAAGGGTATCCAGAGTGATGACAGCCAGTCAAGTGGAATTGAAGTGGGGAGATCTGCACCTGGGCCTAGCTGACTGCTGGCCTCTAGAGCTGCCAGGGCACTGCCCTTTTATTGCCAGTGAGGGGTGTGCCCAGCTCCCTGTTCTCCCGATGCACCTGTAGCCAGCCCTAACAGGCCAGGACCACAGGCAGCCCCCAGTGTGCACGCTTATACAGCTCTGTCCCTCGAGTGTTCAGGCAACAGGGCAGGACAGGACATAAGGGCATCCGGGAAGACCCACTATCACCCCATCCGAGCTCCCATCCCTCTGCTCCTGGGCTGTGGCTGATGAGACACACAGCTGCAGGTATTAGGGGCCAGGTACTACCCAGACCCTACCGGCATCATCCCAAGTGTGAGTCCAGATTACAAAAGAGAACACCTCCCCACTGGCCAGCAGCCTGGGCCCTCCTGCAGCAAGACGGTGTATGTGTGTGTATATTTGCACATGCATGTGCATGTGCCTTTTGTGTATGTGTATCCATACAGTGTGTATTTGTATGCATACCTGCACCTCACCCATGTGATTATGTGTATCCATGCATGCTGTTTTTAGGCATGTGTGTGGATGCATGTGTTCGTGTGTGTCTGTGTACGCACAAGTGTTTCAGGTTGGAGGCAGTACTGCATTTGACAGAGCTCTCCCTCTTTCTGTTGCTCTTCATTATACCCCACACCTCCCTGCCCTACCACAAAGTCATGTGCTGTCTTCTTAACCATCTCCTAGAACCTCTTTAAATTGATGCCCCTGCACAATCTCCTCCTTTCAGTGTGCGGGGAGAGGCAGAGGAAAATGGGTGGGCAGCTCTCAGCAGAGCCATAAGTTGGATGCTAGAAAGCAAAAAAGTCTGGTTCTTGGGCTGACCTCACTGAACGCCTACTTCTTCCCCGTAAAACCAAAGCTTCAAATTGCCAACTCAGTGTGCAATTATTCTAGAGGTAGCTCTGTACTCATGTGTGAAGCGTATGTTGACAGCATTTAAATCTTTGTAATCGCAGTGTCAGAAAGTGCTAGAGGTGACCTCACTGCTCATAAAACAGGGTGTCACATGGTGGGAGACAGTGAAGATAAGTTTTCTAAATTACTTCCAAAGGCAAAGCCTTTGAGGAAGGGAGGTTGGAGCTTTTTATCCATATGTACTTTCTCTGCAGTGTACTGCATGGATCTTGACACAACCATAAAGGTGGAATTAACTAGAGAAATAGAGACTGGAGAAACAGCTTCGGTTTTGAGAGACTTCCTTAACTCCTCTAGGGGCAGGAAGTATGAGGACGTCATCTGGCAGGAGCAGAGCTTAGGGGATGGTGAGCCCTAAGCTGCCATCTTTCACACTGGAAGAGATGGCAGCCCTTGAGGGCCTGCCTGCCAAGTGGGAAAGACTGGCCCCTGTGGTGGCCAATCTCTGGATACACAGTGGGCTGGACTTTGAGTTCCATGTGTGAAATGGTGTCTGTTTCAGTACGGCACTTCTAGAGGGCCTGTAAAGCCAATAGAATAAATTTTCCTAAGGCCCTTTGCATGATAAAATTGTAAGATAAGGCTTGTCTGAGCACCAAGGTTAGGCTGAGTGCCACACACAGGTCTGTTGGAAAGAGCCCCATGCCTAGGTCTCCTTTCTTCAAATGTTGTTAGAATGTCAATGTCCAGCAGTGGCCTTGGGTAGCAGGCCTAGGGGAAAAAGGGTTTCTCTCTCCCAAAGTCCTCGTAGGCACCAGGGGTGCCTGGTGGTTGTAATGATCAGAGTGCCCTAAGGAGGCAAGCATCTGGAGAGCTGAGTGATGGTGCAAAGGGCACGTGGCTAATACACTTTCCTCTTCTGTCACAGCGGAGCTGGAGTTCGCCCAGATCATCATCATAGTCGTAGTAGTCACAGTGATGGTCATAGTCATCGTCTGCCTGCTGAATCATTACAAAGTCTCCACACGGTCCTTCATCCATCGCCCGAGTCAGAGCCGGAGGCAAGAGGACGGGCTGCAGCCGGTAAGTGTGGGCCTGGGCCCCTCGGGTTCCACCCAGGCCTCTGTCTTGGGCTCCAAAAGTGAGGCTGGCAGCCAGTGAGGACCACAAAGCAGGGCAGCTCTTGTGTCAGCCCACTATGGTTTATAGGTATTACAAACTTTCTATTGAAGATTATACTTACAGAAAAGTGCACACCACTGTTGAGCATTCAGCTCAGCAAATTCTCACACAACTGAACACCTGTGTAACCAGTACCTAATCAAGAAACAGGATTGACCAGTCCCCAGAAACCCACTCAGGCCCCACTTCTGGGCATGCCCCCCACAAGGTCACCTCTGTCTTGATATTCAGCATGGATGAGTTTCACCTGCTTTTGAATTTCATGACATTAGAATCATACAGTAGGTGTTCTTTCACGTCTTCATGAAAGGCTTCTTTCATTCAACGCTATACATGTGAGAACCATCCGTGCTATCACACACAAACTTGTTCTTGAGTGTGGCCTGGAGGTGTTCCAGTGATCAAGAATGTACTTGTGCAGCACCGCCTACATCTGTAAGGCATCGTGGGGGTTCCACAGTGCCGTGGGTATGGGGGAGACAGGAGACTGGCAACCAGACAGCAAGGGCTAGCACCCCTCAGGTGGACCAGGGCGGGCTGGGCTGTGCAGGGGCTCACAGGGCAGCCCATGCAAAGGCTCTTCAGGTTAGTTTAAGGATTCTATCTACTTCTTGCTCCGAATCACCCTCCTCCTTTGGAAAATTAGGCACAACTATTCAGCTAACCTGCCCTGTGATGTGTACCTAGGAGACCAAGGGCTACTGGAACTCTGTTCTGAGCTGGCTTTACAGTCTGATTATTGTAGCTTCCGGTGAAAGGTTTGGGAATGATGAGTTTAGGCAGTTATAAATTCTTGGCTTTGGTGGTGGGCAAAGGAGAAAGAGCCCCCATGAAACTCATGTGTGAGGACAGGGCTGTCTGCTGCCTGGCTTAGGAAGGCCATCGTGGGTGTGGGGTAGGGCCATCCTGGTGGGTATGGTGGAGGGCAGCTGGGCACAGGCCCCTGGGACCCCTGAGGAGGGCAGGATCGCACTTCGTCAGGGGTGCAGAGTTGCCCAGTGAGCTGAGGCTGCTGAGTGCTCATGTCTATGGTAGGTGGAGGGAAAGGAAGTGGACGGGGTTGCTCCCTGCCTCTCCAGACCCACAGAGACCAGACAGGGTGCCTCGGGGCTGCTAGCACCCGTCCTGAGAAGGAGCCAGCTGCCCCCCGCCTCTGCTGCCTCCCCCTTCCTTCATCTCTCCAGTCCCGAGCCAGGCCCACAAACCCCCCCAGCCCTTGTACCATGGCTTTCATCTCATAGCGGTGGCTTCCCTGGGGGCCCTTTGTCACTGCAGCAGTGTGGTGCCCGAGGAATTCAGGCTTACTGAACACTGGTGTCCCGACTCCTGTAGACTCCCTGTTGTTATAGAAGGACATTGGTAACTGAAGGAGGGAAAGAATTCTTCTGAAATTCTGAACACAGAAAACATGTAATTGTCCTGAGTTTATAAAGAGGGATGACAGAGAAAATCACCACTGCCGCAGCCTCAGAACTGCAGAAGGATCACCCTTCGCTCTTTGCCAGCCTGAGTGCAAGGGTTGTAAGTGCCCTCTTGCTGTCAGCTCCCTAGCTGGCAGGCAGCTTTCAAGTTTCCTCAAGTACATCCATGAATTACCCACCCTCCCCTTCTGCCGCAGTCTCCTGCAAGCCCAGAGTACGCACGGAGAACGCCGACTGCCCCTCCGGCACCCCCCGCCTGCTGTCTTCCCCACACACGTGCCTCTCCCGACCTGGTGTGGGTGAGGTGGCTCCTCCCCACTCCCAGCTCAGACCTGCCACAGCTGTCCTCCATGTCCGCAGCCACTGTTGCCGACTGGGAGCTGCCTGGCACAGTCGGGGGAAGGGCGCGGCACATACAGTCATGCCCTTACCAGAGGTGAAGCAGGAGGACAATTTTATGAAAGCAGAAAAGTGAAAATTTAAGTGTGTTTTTTGAAACGTGTCTTCTGTTTCATCTGGAAGGGGATTCATGTGGTGCCCTCTCCCCAGGGGCTGCGGTTTGCCTGTGTCTACCCTGCTCCAGGGACTGCCAGGCAGCAGAGCCTTCCTTTCTTGAAATTGAGAAGGTAATTTGGTGACTTTTAGATGTTCCTTAAGGGCTGCACATGGTAAGGCAAGTGAACCCACAGTAACTAGCGACTGTGCTCACAGAGGCCTCTGTCACAGTGTGCCTGAATTTGTTAATAAACACTGGAAAATTTCGTCTATGAGAGCTCAGTCTCAGTTCTGAGCTGGGGGTCATGGAGATGCAGGCTGCACACAGGTTTGTTCCTTTGCTGCCATGATGCTATTTTTTTCTTTTCTTTGAGTGACCCAATTCTGGGTGGTGTTGCTTCCCAGTGGTCAGATTTTCTTCAGTGAAATGGGGATGTGGATATTGCACAGCTTCACAATGAGCTTTCATTAAAGTTTCATAGACTCAGGATGCATTTTTACACAGTGACCATATATAATCCAGGCCCAGACTGGGTAGCTCCGTTTCATGAGTAGGGCTATTAGCATAGTTTACAATCCAGAGAGGGAAAGAAACAGGTGAGAAAGACACCACCCTGCTCTCCTGGGCACAGATCCAAATCCATGGCTACTGCAGTCCTCCTCTTCCCAGGAGCTTGCCCCCTACAAGGCTTTTGCTACCTGATTACCTCCTTCTTCTGTCTCCTTTGAAGAAATGACATGTGCTTAATATAGTACTGGGAAAGCAGTCTGATTAATTTACACTGTGATTCCCAACAAGGGGCAATTTTGCATCCTAGGCGACCCCTGACAGTGCTGGGAGACATTTCTGGTTTTCACACCTCAGAAACAGGGCACTACATCTTTAAGTACACAGGGCAGCCCCCATGACAAAAAACGATCTGACCCCAAATGTCAGTAGTGCAAAGAGGAAAACCCCTGACCTCACCAGGTGCCAAATGCCACCCTTCCCAAAGCCACTCTCTCATCAGAGGAGGATGCCTGGTAATACAAGTGGATCTCATGGCTGGCTCTGAGCTCCAGCAGAATAAGAGAACACTTCCCGGCAGTACAGCAGAAAGTGTTGGGTCCCACAGGGAACTTGCGTGGTCAGAGGGTCCTGGTCTGGGACTCCAGCCTGGGAGCAGTCTCCCCTAGGGACTTCTGCCTTCTGTTGTCCTTCCAGTCATTCACTGGACATGAGCCAGGCCAGAGCAAGATAAGAAGAAACAGTGCAACGTGTCCTCACCATGCTCTGCCTCTGCCCCCCACCCCCACCAGCAGCAGCATCCACTGGCTAGTTCTCACTGGGCTTTCTCTTCTTCTGGGAGCCCAGGATTTCCATGCCCATTGGTGTATGTGGGTGAGGTGTGTGTCCATTGGCTATAGACTGCAGGAGTAGTTTGGAATGGGCACGAGAACTCAGCTCAAGGCAGTCCCAAGTGGCCCTTCCAGGTGGCCCTCCCTCAGCATCTCAAAGTGACAGCCTGTGACAGCCTCCCCCCTCCCTCGAGGGGTGGAGAAGTAGCTGGGCCTGAGCACAGGAGACGGTCACGCTGCTGTGGGGAGGGCCCTACTCTTCCTGGCGGCTTGGCAGGTGAAGCCTCCTAGGCTCCCCTTGGTACTGTGCAGCTTTGGGCTCCTCTGCGGGGGACTGTGAGCTTGATGTGTCTGTGGTGTGCTGACTGTGGGGTTTCATGGCTGCCCCCAAGAACCCCCAAGAGCACCTATTACTTTGTCCACCTCTAAATCCTGCCTTCCCAGGAGCCTAAGTGGGAGGGGTTGCTCAGCTAGTCCAGATGGAAAAATAAAGGACAGTTGGGTTTTGTTTTTGAGGAGGAGGTTGAGCATGTAGATGTTCTGAGTTGACGCAACTTCACTACCCGACTGAGAGCTGCCCCTCTCCGCACTGCATTCTGCTTTAACTGCCCAGGGGAAGCACGCCTGAGGCTAGTAATAGAGGATCTCAGTGGCTCTGTATATCCCTGGTCCTCAGGTGGAGTCTTTCTGCAAGTGGCTGGTTCGACAAGTTGCCCCTCTGGGCCAAGTGCCAGGCTTGCCCTGTTTCCAGGAGGTCTGCTTTGTGCAGTCAAGGCTCCTTCCCTGGCGCCCTGGTTTCCCCACACAGCAGCCACCCGCCCACTGTCTCTCCCCTCACCAGCTCTGACAGTGCCTGCTGGCAGCTCGCACTTTCTGTGCAGCTCCCTCTGGCCAAGGGAAGAATGGGTGGAGTCTGCACTGGCCCAGGCCAGTCAGCCTTCATCACCACAGCATTCCAGGGGAGCCTGGGGATAGGGCAGTGCTGGCCCTGAGTTTGGTAGAAGGAGCCATTTCTGGATGAAAATGAAAATTAGCAACCCAGGCTTAAATTAAATTACAAGAAAAGTAAATGCTGAAATAATGGTAAACAGCAGTGAGTGGGCTTGTGATATAAACCCATATGGGTTCTTTCTGAGGTAATCTCAGCATATTTTTTAGAACCTGGTTTCTATGATTTCAGAGCTTTGAGACTGTCTATATTTCTCTTCGTTATTTTAGACTGTCAAGTAACAGAAAAACAATAAAGGGGCATACATTTTCCCGATACAGCCCTGAGAGATGTTTGCTCAAGTCTCTGGAGGCTTTTCTGCCATAGCTGGGGGAGGCCCAAGTGGCCTTTTCTGACAGCCTGTAGCCCAGCCCAGTGGGGTCCACTGAGCCCACCTGGGCAGCCAGGCTGTGGTGGACAGTGGACAGTGGGTGAGGCCAAGGTACCAGCCTTCTTTTGAGGAACAGCAAAGGGGCAAAAACATTTTTGCTTAGTTTGAACTATAGGAAATGGTGGGTATTCATCCATTTTGACCTATAAAAGTTAATTTTAATTTAAAAATTAACAAAAGGAGTCACATCAGGCACTTCTCCACTACCAATTGCTGCAAGTAATCAGTTGTGAAAATAGGAGTTCCTGGGCCTCCCTGCAGGGACAGA